GGAGAGAAAAAGCTTGTATTAAAGCAGAATTTGTGGATATTTATCTATTATTTATCTATTTAACAACCATTCATCTCCCTTCCACTTTCCTCCCCTCCTCATTTTCTTTCTCTTTTTCTTTTGTCAATCTCCCCACCTATGTACTTACCTAGCATCTCTTTTTCCTCAGTGGATTCATAATCATGTATGAGTTATATGATACAATTAACAATAGAATGAGGCAGTTGTTACCACAGGGCTATATGTCGCAGGTCTAATAAGAGAGGGATCATTTAGTGAGGAAAGGGTCAAGAAACATTTCCAAGAAGAGCGCATGAGGAGGAGTTGGCCAGTCATGTAGGAGAAGGACAATAAGCCATCTTATGCACTTATGACCATGACCAGGAGAACTGTCACCACCAACTACATCTGGAGAGGAAGTTCCAGTCTTCTCTTACTCTAACAAGAGTTTCTAGAGAGCATGTACCTTGCCAATGATCTGGAGAGAAGGTGGCTGGGAGGTGCACATGCTGGATGGCACTCATTAGCTGTGTGCCCTGGGCCAGTGGGTAGTTGATCTGAGACTCAGATTTTTGCCCCAAAGGGCTAGTTACCTGCCTTTTGCATTTTAGCATGTTGTGAGGAGATAATGTGTGTAAAGATAAAAGACTGCATAAGAGGAAAATTTTCCACCACCATCTCCTCCTCCTCCTCCTCCTCTTCCTCCTCCTCCTCCTTTTTTGAGATGGGAATTAAACCCAGGGCCTCACACATTCCAAGCATGTGTTATAGTACTGAGCTACTTCCCAATTCTTTCTGAAGACATTATAAGACTGGATGTTGCTAAGTTGTTTTGAACTTGTGGCCCACCTGCTTCAAACTGCAGCCTTCAGAGAAGCTGGGATGACAGACATATGCCAGAGTGCGTGGCTCATTTTTTAATGAGAATTTAGACTAGATTTTTAGAATTGGAAGCTAGAATAAAAGTATACTCTACTGTAAGGGGGACATGTATGTATATTCCCAAATCATGGGAATTTCTAGAAACCTTTTCACATGGATATTGAGACTTTACTACTTAATAAAATTTTGAGCTAGTCTAAAATCTTTCATTGTAAGATGATACTTAAGGAAGCTATCAAACAGTAATAGTCCTAAAAGCAAAATATTTTCTTATTGTAGGCTAATCTTTGGAATGTTCTGGAATTTCAAAAAGTCACATGATGTTTTTCCAGATAGATACCTAACAAGTTTTCAAGTGATAGAGTTTATGAATACAATGTAGTCATCTTGTAATTGATTCGTGCATTGAAAAGATGCATGCAGCCATACCCAATGATATAGGCTTGACACAGTATTTTTGTAATAAATCACAAATAAAAAATGGCTCACTCAGAATGTACAAAGGTCACCTGGAGAGTAATTTGTTTTCTGAAAGGTTTTGCTTCTTCATCATAAAAAAGTTTAAAATTAGACTACATGTGTACATGATAGAACAGCCTGTTTAAATTACAGATATTATATTAAATTCTGAAAAAATCAGCATTTTGGTACAAATAAATTTGATGTTTGAAAAATTATTATAGATGAGAATTTAAAACTGTATTGTGAGAAAATGGAATCAAGGGAACATTTATTGAGCATAGTTTTTTTTCCCTAAAGCACTGACGAGTCAGGAAATATGAAAAATGACCATGTGAAAATGCTTAGACTCCATTTTAGAAAAAGAAAGCTGGTTTTCAGAGATTTTAAGCATATACTCAAATACAGTGTATAAGTGGCACATCAATACTGGAACATGTGTTTGACTCAATCATCCATTTTTTAATTGAAGACCTATTAAGTTGCAAATTATATGGCAGGTAAGTATTGAGACCTGATTATTCACAGATGCAGAGAATAGAAATTGCTTTTGCCTTGGGGCTGAGGTTGTGGCTCAGCGGTAGAGCACTCGCCTAGCACATGTGAGGAGCTGGGTTGCATCCTCAGCACCACATAAAAATAAAAACAAATAAAAATAAAGGTTTTGTGTCCAACTACAACTAAAAAAAAAATTTAAAAAAAGAAATTACATTTGCCTTTATTTACCAGTACTTAAAGATCTGAATGGAAAGGTATTAGAAGTAATGCAATCTCGATAGAAGACTTTTCTTCAATAATGCATTTGTATTGTGTTCTGGAAATTGGTGTTGACAGTGGTATTGAAAAGCCAAATGTCTATTCCAGAGAATTTGTGAAGTAGAATTTATAGTTTTGAAATTCAAGGATGATATAAAAGGAAAGAAACCAAGGGAAAAAGAAAAACTGGAGGGGATTTATTTTCTGTATGCTATTGTTAAGGATGAATTACAGTAGAGTGGTTAGATAAGGTCAGTACCCAATATCAGAAGAAATAGGTAGGAATATTTTTTCCACAGAAGGACAAATATCTTATAATGAAGGTTATCAAAAAAAGAGATTGACAGCTTTGTGAAAATCTCCATTAAGGGCATCTAATAAAGTAGGAAACCAGCCACCATTCACTCCTTTATCATCTAAATCCAAATATTAGACAGAAGAAATGATGTTCCTAAGTTTATATTATCTATCAACTAGGATTTCATGTCTATTATGGTAAAAAATAATTGAAAACTCTGAAACTGCTTGGTTCTGAAAATGATGTATAAATCTAACCTATACCAGTAAGATAAGTGAAAACAAATACAAAACATTTTTTTTCCTGTTTTACTGTTTTTTTCTACTGCATGGTTGTTGATATAAAGGTAGGATGTTGACTATAGAGTAAAAAGGAAAGGCATGCTTGAATTAGACCCCTACAGACATAACTACAAATGAGGATTTCCAGACCTCAGCACTTCTGACATTTTGGACCAGATGTTTCTTTGTTCTTGGAAGCTGATTTTTACCTTTCAGGATTATAAGCATCCTTGATTTCTACCAGCAGATGCCCAGTAGCTTTCCTTCCACCCCAAGTCATGTTATTTGAAAATTTCTGCAAAAATTAGCAAGTGTCACCAAGAGGGTAAAATTATCTATGATTGATAATCAATGATACAAATGTGACAATAGCTCTGTTGCCCTTATTATTCCTGTATTATGGGAAAAAGTGAGGTTAAAAAAAATGAGCAGGATATAGATAAGGTGACCCTGAGAGGAGCATCTGTCTCCTTCTTTGGGGGTTGAAGAATTTATTTGTATGCTTGATCCTGGACAAGAATCATCTGTCTTTGCAAACTTCAGCACCCAAGACAGCATCTTCCCTATGACATAAGTTCAGTTAGCATGTGTGGAATTTAGCTAAGTTGTTTAGGGATGCCCACCAAGCAAAGCAATCCACAAAAATATGTAAGTACACATTATAGTTTTAAAGCTATATGTGGAGAGGAGGAAAACCTCGATGTACAAAATATATAAATTCTTATAGTTAAGTGAGAAATTCTTATAGAAATTTTTGTTAGAAAAATTATAGATTCTTGTAGGAAAATTGTAGATTCTTAAGTTGAATGATAATTGCATATATTTTAGTCAGAAGAGCGGATGCAGGTAAATGCATTATAGTCCTGTTCTTTGGATTACACATATTGTTAGAATTCTAGGAATAGAACAGACCTGGGTCCCTGACAATGTTTCTATATCTCTCTACCTCTTGCAGGGAAGGATGTGGTCCTCCTTTTTTAAGTTTCAAAAACCAATCATGTTTAGAGTTTGTAGGTATTCCCTTAAAGGGTAGTTCAATATGTTTGAGCATAAATTCTTCTAGTACAGCAATATAAATGTAAGTGCAAAAGACAGCAGAGAGGCAGGAACTTGTCCCCTTCCTGGATTGCAGCAGAGCTTCGTTGCTCAAAGATGTTATTGTCAGCTGTGTATTCTGGAGAAGAATCAAGGAAAGGGGACAAAGCATGGTGCTCAGTCCTGTGTAGCACTCATTTCTAATAAGTTCTATAGCTTTTCTAAAATACCCAATAGGTGTCTGCATAAAGACTTACCACTGAATGTAACCCACCTAGACCCATGCAAAGATCATCAGCCATAATAGAAGTCAGAGGAAACTTGATACATGACATTGAACTCTGGTTAGTGATAGTGATTCCAAGTTGAAGTTTGTAAAAAAAAAATTACTTTTTACTATGAATTCTTTACTTATTTAGGTCACATTCAACCAAGTGTTTTATTACCAAAATGATATTTTATATTCTATAAGTGAATTGCATTGACTAAGTTGTATTGATAATAGAAATTTACAATTGAGGTAACAGATGGTGACATATATGTTTTATATATATGTATATATGTATATATATATATGTACACACACATATGTAAACATACATACATATGGAGAGAGAGAGAGAGAGAGAGAGAGAGAGAGAGAGAGAGAGAGAGAGGCCCAAGCACTAATGATAGGTATCTTCTTTTAGAATGCATATTTTTCAGTTGGAGCTATGAAAGCAAAATTTTAAAACAGAGAATATATAGAAAAGGGATCAAACTAAGTCACACTTGCAGTCAGCGTTCTAAAATCATTCATTCTCCTTTTAGCTTCTCAGTTAAATGTACAATGAACAGTAGTGAAAGATATAGGAATCCCAAGAATGCACCTACATTTCATCAGGCAAAACTCTGATGGGATCTACATTGGAGAAAAGAACTGATTTTCAGGTCTAGAGGGCAAATTTTTCTTATATTTTCCCCAAGACTTGCTATACAAAATATATTACCAGGTGATAGAAAGTTTTAAAAATGGATAGCAGTTTAACATTTGTGCCTGTGATTTGTTTGAGACATTTCATTAGCAGAACAAACTAAAACGATGTTCTTTAAATAAAAAGCAGAGTCTCCAAAATAATGAGCACATTTTAAGCAAACCATTTTTGATTGTCAACAGTGATTGGCACATGATAGTTGTTTAAATATTTGTTGGCTGTGTCAGGGAATGAATGGCATACTCTGGCAATTGTGGACAGTATATAAAGGTCCCAGGGAAGCAGAAGACATCCACACTTCAGAACCATCCTTATTCAACCCACCTCTACTCTTTCCTCTGACAACATGTGTTGCAACTACTACGGCAACTCCTGCAGCTGTGGCTGTGGGTATGGTGGCTATGGCTCTGGCTATGGCTGTGGCTATGGTGGCTATGGTTGTGGCTGTGGATACGGCTGTGGCTGTGGATACCGTGGCTATGGTGGATATGGCTCTGGCTGTGGCTGTGGATACCGTGGCTATGGTGGCTATGGCTCTAGCTGTGGCTGTGGATATGGCTCTGGCTGTGGCTGTGGATATGGTGGCTGTGGTGGCTATGGTGGATATGGTTGTGGCTGTGGATATGGCTGTGGATACGGTGGCTATGGTGGCTATGGCTCTGGCTGTTGTGGCTCCCGGGTGTTTTGCTACAGAAGATGTTATTCTCCTTGCTGCTAAAACATCACTATCAGAGGACCACTTGTTTCTGAAATGACACTTCTAAAAGACGACACTTCTTCAAGATCCACTCCTCAAGATCTCTACCTTCAGAAAATTGCATGCTTGAAAGTCATTGATCTTTGGCTGCACATCTCTTAGGATGGCATCTGGGAGACCCTAGGACCTGTGCTATCTTCTCACCACTTTCCACATAGTAGCCTTTTCTCCCTGAATCTCTGATTCTCTGTCATGACCATGTTGATGACCATAGCATCTACAGTGGTCAAAGTCACTTATTTTCAATAAAAATGGTTGTTTGTTTCTAATAAATCTTTGTGTACTTGCTTGTGAATTATTCCTTTCTTGTGGTATTTTTGAACTATCTTGACAATCAGGCTGACACTAATTAGCCTAATTGTTGGGTGAAGTTAAGGTACTATCTTTATAAAATACATACATTTAGTCTTATTTTGTATCAACAATGTCTCTTCTGCTTGCTTTTCATGTACCACATGCTCAGGCCCTTCACAACCCAAGCACAAATCACAGAGAATTTTAGAATTGTGCTTTGGAAATGGCACTGGATCTTGAATGGAGGTGGAGAGGAAAAGAGAGAAGGAATGGTATCTATCATTAAGGTTATGAGAAAAGCAGCCATAAAGAAGAATGAAATTATGGCATTTTCCAGTAAATGGATGGAACTGGAGACTATCATGCTAAGTGAAGTAAGCTAGTCCCCCCAAAACAAAGAAGGCTGAATGTTCTCTCTGGTATGTAGACGCTAACACACAATAAGCAGGGAAGAAGAAAAGAAGTTCATTGGATTAGACAAAGGGGAATATAGTAAAGAGACAGGGGATGGGGACAGGAAAGATAATAGAATGAATCAGACATAATTTTCCTATGTTCATAAATGAATACACAACCAGTGTTAATTCTACATCATGTATGACCACAAGAATGAAATCCAAATTAGAATAATTTATACTCCACATATGTATAGTGTGTCAAAATATACTCTACTGTCAGATATATCGATAAAGAACAAATTTTAAAAAGAAAAAAAAAGATTATGAGAAAAGTCCCAGGAGAGTCATGTAGCACAAGAACTCAAAAGAGCAACAGAATGGAAGAGAGTGTTGTCAAGAGTTACGGAAGTATTCATCAGACTTGGGTGTTGGTCATGAGGAATAAAGCCTAAGGAAATAATAAATTTTGCTGGGAGCCATTAGCCAAGTAGGTATGACAATTTCCTTGCCAGCGTACCCCATGTTGCTGACATTTGCAGTGACATTGAATGTAGGTGACCTTGCTCAAGGACCAAGGCGGATTAGGGTGTTCCCGGTTTAAGATAATTGGGTTTAGGGCGTTCCAGGTTTAAGATTATTCCTCCTGGGAATAGGGCGTATCCTGCTGCCTGAGTTCCCCTTGCGTTCTCACGGGATTCAGACAGTATTTTTTGGGAGATAGAAGCCCAGTGGAGGTGGATTTGGGCAGAGAACGTGGATTTCCCCAGAACGTGTTTGTAGACGGCTGGTGTGAGTTCGGGAATAAAGAGTTGCTGTTTGAATCTACAAGCTGTGTGGTGGCTCGTGATTGTGTGCCCAGCCAGACTGCGGCAAAATTTGAAGAAAAACCATATTGTTACATAATATGCATTAATGGAAATGCAAGTGTATTTGTGTACATATATTGAGGTGGAGTCGAGTGATTTGATTCACTTAATCAATAAATATATTTGTATACTTTTGGCCAGGTACCATCCTAGACTTTGAAGACACAATAGAAAAATTATAGACATGTCTTCTGATTTCAGTGTTTGTACTCTATTAGAAAAAAATAATATAACAAATAAAACCCATAATAGATTTATACAGATAATTGTAATAGGGGAATTAAGAAGCTCAATAAGACAGTAATGTTAGTTAGGCTGATGTAATGTTAGTTCAGGAGCATATGTTGAAGTTGTGACATTCAAGCTGATAATAAAAAGATGCCAATAGCAAAAAGAGGTTGGGGAAGTTCATTAACAAGTACAAAGAGAAAGAGAAGTTCATTAAATTTGGGTCTCATCAGGAAGTGCCATCCTTTGTCAGTTATAAAAGAACAAGGTCCAGTGTCTTAAGTTGGGTTCCCTTGGGAATGGGGCTGATATGATACTGGGATTAAAAAGCCTAGTTAACTCCTTGGTTAACTTTTTGAAGGAGAGGGTACACTATTTTGGGGGAGAGGGAGTTGTGACTTTCTTGCTCTTTCCCCATGTGGTCATCCAGAACTCTTCTATTTAAGTCCTATAACAGAAAAAACCCTTTAGATTTGATATCAATTATGTTTCAACCAGCAGTAATAAATGTCCCATTTCCTTGAGGGGGTCACGACACAAAGTCTGACTCTGTGAGCTCCCTGGAGCTGAGAGATTCCACAAGGGCTGACTTGAAGAAAGACAGTTCTGCAATCAAAATCAGTCCTGGACTGGGGCTGTGGACACAACCAGATTTTTCCATCTGATGGTGACTCAGAGCTTCTTCAAGGGTCAGGGTGCTCTTTTACATTGGGTACATTTGTAAATCAGATCTGAGGGTTGACTCTGCCCTGCATAATTCTGAAGCTAGTGTTACAAACAGAGGGAGGGAATTCTACTAATTACAGCTCTTTGAAAATCTAACTTATTGTTTCATTATGTTCCTTGGCATCAAAGGCATTCCAAAACAAGGAAGGATGTCATTTAGTAAGCACGTTTAGGATAGTTTATATATCCAGGAAAGGATCTTCACAAACCAGCATTTACCATGTCTTCCAAACCTGAAATGTTGTGATTCTCTTAGTCAACAAGAATTTAGAGATTTTCAGCTTGTGTGAAACGAGAAACGAGTGAGAATGGTAAAGAGACAGGGATCCTAAAGTTAGAGAAAGAGTGTGTGCATGTGTGTGTGTGCACACATGTAAAATGAATCTGGTGTAGGTTAGGAAAATGAATATTTGTCTTCTCATATCTAATCATGTTATGGAGGAAAGGAAACATTACATTAGGGCACACTTTTTGGATTCAGGAATGGTTTAAGCATCAAAGCTCCTTTATAAAAAATAAGTAATGCTTTTATTAATGAGTTATATTGTAGAGGTTCTCAATGTAAAATCAGTCATGCTTCTCTCATTCCTTGAACAAGTCTTAAAATTCATGTTCTAGCTATGTACTGTGATTGGTGCAGAGATAAAGCTAAGACACCCAGGCCCACTTCTAAGGATTCCAAATCTTCAGTTAGACACAAAACATTGATTTATACATTCACATTACAGCAGGTATGCCTGCAGGTGTGATGGGGTTAGCCAGAGGGCTGAAGGGGTCATCTTCACATTCAGACTGAATGTGAAGAGGAAGTTTAGACAAGGGTCACAAATGTTTTCAAATGGAGAATGATGTATAAGCAAAGCCATAAAGGATAAGGTGGGAGTATTTGATTACTTGGATAGGAAAATAGGATTCAAGGCAGAGGAATTCAGATAAAGAAGATAAGCTGGAAGTCCACTGTTAGAGTAACAAGATTCACTGGGAAGATTAATCAATGGCCACACCATTGGAGGGATTCTCAGGTCTCTTGAATGAGCTGAAAAATCAGATGTTAGCCACTGGCTAGGTGTGGCTATTGAGTACAAATACTACTAGTCCATTATGAATTAAGTATAAAACACACAGTAGACATCAAATAATATATCAAATGGTTTTGAACTATTGATTATATATTACTTGATAATATTGGGAGGCCATAGATTAAATAAAACATAGTATAAAATAATTTTACTTGTTTATGAAAGCCTTTTAAAAATGTGGCCAGTGAAGCATTTGAATTTTTCTACATACTTCATAATGTATTTCTGTTGTATAGTGTTGTTCTAGAGGGCCAGCCACAACAAACCGGCCAGGAAAAGACATTGGATAAGAAGATAAGCCATGTTTTGGGCCCAGAAAAGATCAGAGAATCTGAGTGTTTTATAAAGATACAAGAAGTAGATAAGTCTGAGGGAGTGAGGCTACAGGTGCCTGAACTGCAGACTTTGGGAAGCATTCAATAAAGATGCACATTTACCTGGAAGGTTTATTCAATAAATAGATGTCCATCTGTTTTGTAATGTTTGAATATCTGAGACTAGGTAATTTACAATGAGCAGACCTAGAACCTGGGACATTCAATGTCAAGGTTCTGGCTGCATCATAACATAGTAGAAGGCAGAGAGAGAGAGAGAGAGAGAGAGAGAGAGAGAGAGAGAGAGAGAGATGGGTGGGAGAAAAAGAGAAGAGGAGGAGGAGGAGGAGGAGGAGGAGGGAGGAAAACCCATCTCCAGAACCTGTTTCTATAATAATAGCATTAATTTGTTCATAAGAATGCATACCTTGTGACCTAAATACCTCTTAAAAGTCCTACTTCCCAATACCATCCCGCGGCAATTAAGCTTTAGCATGCGTTCTGGAGGGGATAAAGTTTTAAACCATAGCAATGAGATTGATCCATTTTCCATCTGTTTAGACACAGACAAAGAGGCATCTAATTCACACCATATCCACAAGAAATTCTATATCAATTAAAGTTGTGCATATAAAAGTTAAGTTGTTAATGGAGGACAATATGGTATAGATTTTTCAGGAATTTTGGAAGTCAGTTGTTAAAACTTGAAAGCAGTCATGCTAGGACAATTTATACCATGGAAATTGGCAAATCAGATATCCCACTTCCTTTTCCCAAAGAGATAATTAATAGCATTCCACTACACTTATCCCTCTAGTCACTGAGAAGAAATGTATTTTTTCCCACAAATTTAATAACAGGGATATACTACTTATGATAGTGAAAAAAAGAAGAGAAAGAAATCTATAGAAATCATTGCCCTCAGAAATCTTGAGCATCTACAGTAAGTATATATCCAAGTTCTGTAATGCATCATTATCTTTAACTGCACTCCATCTCTGCAAAGTATCATTTCCTGGAGGTAAAACAAATGATGACACTTTTAGAAACAAAAGTGTAAAGATTGGGATTAAAAGCCTAAATTCTGAAGTCAAATTACCGTGTCTAAGATAGGCTTCATCTGTTATTAACTGTGTGACCAGGGCCACCTTAAGTACCTCCTTTGATACTCAAGGTAAAAATGATAAAATAGTGCTAGTTCAGATTGCTGAGTATATAAAAATAAAAAAAAAAACATACAAAGCTCTACCACTGTAAGAATCCAGTTCATTTAAGTACCTCCTTTGATACTCAAGGTAAAAATGATAAAATAGTGCTAGTTCAGATTGCTGAGTATATATATATAAAAAAAAAAACATACAAAGCTCTACCACTGTAAGAATCCAGTTCATTTTTGTTATTATTCTCATTAATAGGTTGCTGTTATGGAATTGCTAATATTCAATCATTTTAACATACAAAGATGACAATTTCATATGGTTTAACCTTATATTTTATGCTTGTTGATTTTAATAACATTTTGATAATCTTAGAGTTTTGATCATAACTTCAGTTTTCTCTTATCATAGATGTACTCCCCAGTTAGATGTTCTGTACAGCTATCAGACATGTATTTCATAGTTATGAGTTTTAATATGTGTTGTGATACCAAGTAAGTTGATGTCTGCTACTGTATTTTAATAACAAACTAGTATGTTTTAATAAGTAGCTTATTTTCTCATGATTTGTTTCCACCTTAACACTTAACACTATTAATCATTAACTACTTGTGAAGTTTTCATTAGATTTTGTGGAAAGTATGGGGTCTTTAATGAAGAATAAAAATTTTATGGGGGAAAGAATATGATAACAGTAAATACTGGCTGCACTATACTGAAGAGTTAGTGTGTGAGAAAAAGAAAAGATGAAAAGAATCCTAATGTTCCTGTAGCATGCGGTAAAAGGATACAGACTGGACGTTTATTCTCCCTGATGAATTTCTAAACACATATTTTTAGACAAAACATTCTATACTTTGGAATAGTGCTTGAATGATATAAGTTGTCAAAACATCTTATGGAATTAAGTGATTCTTGCATGGTTGTCTAGGAAAGAAGCAATGAAAGCATGCCAGTAAACCTTGCCGTGCTAAGACTGCACTGAGAAGAAGGCAGGTGACAGGTTCATGTGGAAAGGGCCAAGGAGTTGGATGAACGAGCCAATACTGAATATATTGTAGCAGAAACAATAAGAGCGGGGCAATTAAAATTAGGAGGCAAACATAGAATATGAGGTTTGTTTGTATTTTGACTTGGAAATTGCTGATCCAGGGTACCTTTTCCCTACGTTGATTAAAATTTGAGAATGTCTAGAAAGTTATCATCATTAGCACACAATGCTACAATTTGTCAAGTTAACTTTCAGGATGTTAAGAAGATTGTACTCTAGAGACTGCTGTGGCCAGAGTAAAGCTGTCTGGTATCACTGTGGCACTTGAAAATCTGTGGAGGAGGTGTATTAACACAGTGTTTTGGCTAGGCTGTTGTAGATCACAAAGAAAAATCCCAATGATTGAAATGCAAGGCAGGAGTAGCGGAATGCTGGCAATTTCAGTGAGACAAAGTAAATTTTTTACATTTGAAAAACTGAAAGAAAACACCACGCACAGTCATATCCTAGCTTTTATGATATTGTAGAAGTTAAACCAGTTGGATTCCACAACTAAACAGTTGAGAATTCTTGCTCAAGTGACATATTTATCCTTGGTCTCTGTTTTCCCATCTGTGATGTGTATAAAAATGAAGAAAACTACTGGTTCATGAAAAGGTGCTCCATATCACTAGTTATCATGGAAAGGCAGATTCAAACCTCAATGAGTTATCACCTCATACCTGTTAATAGCGACTATTATCAAAAAGACAAGAGGTAACATACAATGGAATATTGTTTTACTAAAACAGAAGGAAATTCTGCCATTAAAGAAGAAGACTTGGATGGATTTGCAGGACATTATGCTAAGTGAAGTAAACATGAAACCATAAGACCTATACCTTACAATCTCAGGTGGAGTCTAAAATAGTCAAACTCACAGAAGCAGAGAATACAGAGAGGTTGTTACCAGGGGTAAGAGGACGAAAAATGGGGAGATGTTGGTCATAGGCTAAAAAATTTTAGTTATGTGAAATGAATAAATTCTGGAGAATCAAAGTGTAGCATGATTACTGTAGTTAATAATATCGTATTGTATACTTGAAATTTGATGAATCATTCTTACCACAAAAGAAAAAGAAAACAAAAACTGATAACTAGGTGAGGTATCAGTGGGTTAACTAACTTGATTGCTGTAACAATTTCACAATATATCCATGTATCAAATCATCATGTTGTGTTTACCTTTAACAATTCTGTCAATTATCTCTCCTGCAACTGGAAAGCAAGGAAAAAAATACAGCCTTCTACTTTAATTTTTTTTATATGAATCAAACAAAGTAATAAATGTGAGTGTACCCAAAATCTATATAGGAAAATACAAACACTATTAATTATTATATTATTGTTCTCATATAATATTCTCTAAATTAAAATAAAAACACTTTTTACAGATAAAAATTATTATAGGTTCTCATTCAACTGTGAGAGCCTACTTTGTTAGACTCATGGAAAATGAAGACAATATTATTATTACTCATACCAAGGATTGACAATATTATTATTACTCATACCAAGGATTGAACCCAGGGGCACTTAACCATGGAGCCACGTCCCCAGCCCTCTTTTGTATTTTTTTTTTTAATCTAGAGATAAAGTCTCACTAAGTTTCTCAGGACCTTGCTAAGTTCCTGAGGCTGGCTTTGAACTTGCAATCCTCCTGCCCCAGCTTCCAAGCTGCTGGAATTATAGGCATGTGCCACTGCGCCTGGCTTAAGACACGTTATTGACCTTAATTCACAATTGTCTGGGGAATCAAATAATTAAAACAGATGGTACCAGTATCACAGTATTCAGTGCCACCATCAAGTCGTGCACAGGGAGCTCTGGAAGAGCAGACGATGAGGCCTAATGCATACTGTGATGCAGGAATCCTTCTTACAGACAGGTAGCTTCAGCTACGCTGGGAAGGATCTGTAGAAGTCTGGCAGGTAAAAATCTGGTGAGGTAAAGAGCAAGATTTTTCAGAGAAAATAACTCAGTGAAAAGTTTCCCCCAACCTGTAATATTTCTTTAACCCATAAAAATACTTCTATATTAATTTAGAGCATTTAATATAAGAAAAACAATAACATAATAATTAATAATATTTGCATTTATCCTTATGGGTTTTGTATTGGGTAACAAAGGATTTTGTGTCAGGTAAAGTTGTGGCTGGTTTTATTTTGGAATGTGGCCTCAGGGCCCTATTTGGCATCAGTTCTAACCTTCTTTCCTTACCTGCCTCTTGCTCCAGCCACCATGCCAGCGGCTGTTCTGCGTGAGCTCTATCCACTTTCTTGCAGGTATAGCCCCAGAATGCCTCTCCATACGCCCTGTCTGCTTTTCATCTGTAGTTCCAAGGTTTCCTTTCAGTGTTTACTTAGGAGAATCTGGGAAATCTCCAATGTCCACGTACGTATACCCGGAAGTAAAGAACAGTTAATGATCTGGAGTAAAAAAAAAAAATCTAAATTAGGCGTGATTACATTCTGCAGGACATACCTGCTCTATGTGTAGGTTACAGGTGTTTTCTTACAATTCACATGACTATAGACAGGAGCCAATTTCTAGACATAACTATATGAAAAGTTTTTGTTGTTAGAATGATGAGCTTTTTAAAAATGAAAATTGCTTTGATAATGAGGCCACAGAGTCAATGTCAGATGTTCCACCCATTTCTGGTCGTATATATAAAGATCTCAGGACAGGGGATGGCATTCAGACTTCAGAACCTTCTACCTGTTTCTCCACTGAACTACTGACCTCCCATTGATAGACATCATGTGCTACAACTCATGTGGTAGCTCCTGCCATGGCTGTGGCTATGGCTCTGGCTCTGGCTGTGGCTGTGGCTATGGCTCTGGCTATGGCTGTGGATATGGCTGTGGATATGGCTCTGGCTGTGGCTGTAGATATGGCTCTGGCTATGGCTGTGGATATGGCTGTGGATATGGCTCTGGCTGTGGCTGTGGATATGGTTCTGGCTATGGATGTGGATATGGCTCTGGCTATGGCTGTGGATATGGCTCTGGCTGTGGCTGTGGATATGGCTCTGGCTATGGCTGTGGATATGGCTCTGGCTATGGCTGTGGATATGGCTCTGGCTGTGGCTGTGGATATGGCTCTGGCTATGGCTGTGGATATGGCTCCAGCTATGGTTGTGGATATGGTTCTGGCTGTGGATATGGCTCCAACTATGGCTGTGGATATGGTTCAGGCTGCTGTTGCTATCGGCCATGTTGCTATAGAAGATGCTACTCTTCTTGCTGCTAGAACATGACTGTATCTCACCTTTTTTTTCCTAAAATGACCAATTTGAGGCCATTTCTGTTTCAATGTCTCACAAGCCAATCAAATTCCACTGAATAGAGAGAAGACAGAGCCATCATGAATGATCTTTTTGAAGGTTTTTCTTGCTGTTTTGAGGACCTGAGTTATAGACCTAAGTTACTCTACGATGTTTCTGGAAGACAGAAGACCTCATTTTGGTTATAGTACAAGTATAAACTCATTACCTTTGTATTTTATGCTTCTGTTTTATGACTATTTTCTAATAAACAATGTTTCAATGCTCCTCATATGTTTCTGTATTTTTTTTTGTTTCAGATACTGTTATGACTTGAATAAATGACCTAAAAGTATCCCCCTTTAAAACTTTGTTCCCCAAGATGATGCCATTGGCAGGTGGTGGAACCATTAGGAAGTGGGGCATAGTGGGAGGTTTTGTTAAGAAGATTTCAGCCCCTCTGACCAAAATACCTGATCAGAAGTACTGAGAACAGGAAAGTTTATTTTGAGCTAATGGTTTCATAGGTTGTTCATAGTTGGCCAAATCCATTGCTCCAAGCCCCGAGGTGAGGCAGAGCATCAAGGCAGGAGGGCATGGTGGAAGTAAACTGCTTTCCTCCTTGTTGTCAGAAAGTACAGAGAGAGAGAGAAAGAGAGAGAGAAGCCAGGGGGACAAGATGTAATCCACACACCCATGCTTCCGTGACCTAATTCCTCTAGCTATGCTGACCTGCCTAGGTTAGCAGTCAGTAGAACAGTACTTTCAAACTATTAATTCATCAAATGGATTAATCCAGTGATTAGGCTACAGCTCTTATATACCATGCATGAGTTTCATGCACATTTTATATCCAAAGCATGACAGAAGTCCTTGGGTCATTGAGATTGTGAACTTGAAGGAGACATTGGGTCCTCAAACCCTTTTGCTTTCTCTGTTCTCCCTGGTTCATGAAACAAATGGCATTACTTTACCAAATAATCTTTCCATGATTGTGTTATCTTGTCAGAGGTCCCAAACAATATGTAGTGATCAAGGACTAGAACCTCCAAAAACTGTGAGCCAAAATAAACCTTTTCTCTAGACAAATTAATATCTGAAGTATTTTGTTAAAATTACATAAACCTGACTAATACAGACTTGCTTATTGTTTATATTTTGTCTTATATTTCTACATTTCTGTGACTTTTCAGGGATTGGGACGGTTACTAATCAGCTACTTATATCAGCTGTGTCTAATGTCTGGCATTCATTTTGATCCATTAGTGTTCATAATACCTTGAATGTCTCATATCTTGAATATTGACCCTAAGAAGCAATCCTTCATGGGCGAAGGCATGCATTCTGAATTCATTTCACTCATGAGTTTGTTATTAAGCATTTGTATTTCATGATTTGGGTTTATCTATTTCTTTCTTTCTATATTAATTGGAGCTCTTCAATACATGCCCACATATACACACGGGAACACACATGAACACACATGCACACACACATGTACAATAACACAGGATGTTACAGAAAAGTTTGCTTCAGGAAACTGCTAACCATGCAAAAGGTGGGTTGGCAGAGGAGAGATAGAGGCTCAAAAGTTAGGTATGTAAAAACTTGCAGACTGGTTAAATTTGGACTTGCATTTGGGTGTTGAAACAGATAAGGAAAAGGAACAGAGGAACATCAGGAACTTTGTGAAGGCAGAACCCAGAAGACCTTGGACAACAGTGTTGGAGAAGTTAGAAAATCCAAAGAAGATCATATCTTCAGCAATATGTATTTCGGGGTGATATGTATCGTTTTAAATCTGAAAGAGATATTGGATTATCATTATGAATATACTCTATCTTTCTAGACAATAATTAGTTTGAAGCAAATGGAAGACATGACACATAAATTCCTCACAACAAGAGCTCTTTCTCACATATGACACCATCTGAAAGAAGACTGACTTCCTCATCAAGTGCTTTACCACTAGCTGTGTTTAAAGCCAGGTGGACTCACTCATTCTGAGGGTTATGTGAGGGTGAAATTGCAAACTGAGAAAGATGGATGGAATGAGTCGATCTCACATATCCATTTCTGTTTCTACTTCTATTCTAGGATAGTCTAGGATATTATAGGCTATGAGTCCATGTGAGCTTTGAATTCTGTGAAAATGGTGACATTAATGCCAGGAAAATACAAAATATTTATACATCAGGTGGTAGAAACCCAATGTTCATTTGAGATACAGAAAGACTGTTAGAAATATAGTCAAGATTCAACTACTCATGCATTCCTAGAGCCCTTGAATAATAAAAGGAATAACAGACTTGAGCAGTGGAACAACAAAATGGTTGGGTGGCTAAATTGTCATTTTTAGAGGCATAGAACCACTTCTTATGGATTAGGTAAGTTGACTCATTCATCAAATATTTACTAAGTCACTAATAAAATGTTTCATTATGTGCTATTAATAGAAAATTAAACTATTTCATCTCAGCTTTCAAAATGTGAGAAAAACATGAAAAACTGCAAGCTTCAAAAGTATTGCTATAATATAGTTATATGCACGAGTGTTTGGGAAGTACACACACACACACACACACACACAAACATGAACAAAAGCAAACAAACAAAAACAAATGCCACAAACCAAAAGCCAAAATAAATGAACTAAACAAAAGAGGGGCCTAAACTAAGAATATATAGGGTGAATGGTTGTATTTCTAAAAAGAGGCAGATTTCCACCTCAAGTATTATGTTGAGTAATTACTGTGGGCCTGTGGCTATGCCTGTCACTGTCATTCCATGTATGGCTGTTGGATATGAGCCTGACTTCTTTAAAGAAGTGACAACTAAGGTGGGATTTGAAAAATCTCAAAATAAATCAAAACACATAGGTGTCAGAAATGGGGGAAAATGAGGGAGGCAGAGGGAAGAATGTTTGCAAAGGCCCTGATGTGACAGAAGTTACCGTGGTTATGTCTGTAAGGGGAACCATGTGGCTGGAGCTTCTGTATTTACATTATTTTTTGTTAGTGCATTTATGACATGAACAGGAGAGCAAAAGGAGCAAAGATGAAGAGGGGGGCAGGGGCCACATCCCACAGTGCCTTGTGATGTTAGGTGTTCAGGTTTGCTTGGATTTCATTTTAAGGTATTTCTTGGTAATGCAGCCATTTGTCCTTGCACATGTAAATTATCAATTAATTTTCTGCATCCTTATGACATTTCATATAAACACTGAAACACAAGTTTGTGCCACTTCTTTACCATATCCAAGTGTATCACACTTTATATGAACACAAAGACACAAATTCATGCCATTTCTAGGCCATTCTCATAATGTCTGCATGGGAATTGGACTGTGGGAGAAAGAAACATTTCTTATTAACAGGACATAAGAAAAGCGGAGAGAACGTATGCTGTGTCAGAGACTTGGAAAATTTCAAAGGCAGTTCAGAGAGTGAGAGGAAGGGGCAGGGAGGCTATGAGAGAGAAGACTTGGATGGAACATGGGCTTCAGAGCACCTTGTGATGAGAAGCAGCAGAGGTGCTGTTCTCCCCCCCACGTGTAGAGAATTATTACGTGGAAGAACTTTTAAGATTGTTTGTCTAGTTCCAGAGTCCAGAATCAGATGGGCTTATATGAATTGCAAGGAAGAGGACTTCTCAAGATATGGCCGTTTTCTAAACACTATGTGCCAAAGGAAATCGGAGCCCAGACGGGTTCTCCAGCTTTGGGTGTGTCTGTGTAGGAGCTCAATCATTATTTATTCTGCATTTTATGGGGAAATTAAAACATATAGGCCCAGGTATATTTATCATCATCTCAACCCCTTTTGTGACTCTAAGATTTAGGAAGTGTTGATTCTATGATTTAAACAATGCCCATGAGGCATACAGTCAAAGTTGGATGTTCTTAGGAGCCATAGGAAAGGTGAAAAGAAACAACTTTTTACAGTGTGGAAGGTAGCCAGAGAGAGGAGGATATTTTTAATATCTCTTCCTCTAGAAGACAGACAAGAACGGATGATTGATGAGAGCTAGTAATAATTATATTAACAAAGTAAGAAAGGTCTTCAATACTTTTCTGGATATCCACAGAAGCTTAAACTAAAAGAGAAGGCAGAAGATAAATATTCTATTTTAATCAAATACATAATTAGAGTTTTATGGGGATAATAGTGAGGAATTAAGGAAAAAAAACTATATATGGAGTGATCTAAGTTTACATATGGTATGGTCATGAGGATATATGAGATATTGAGATTATATTGGAACTTTTAACAAATACACATTTTCACAATAAAATATTGAGTTGGAATATAACCCCTTTGAGACTTAGTCTAACCCTTTGTTAAAGTGGTGTACCTGAAAGATTTAATGCAATTCCTATTAAAATCCCAATGACATTCTTCATACAACTAGAAAAAACAATCAAAAGATTCATTTGGAAAAATAAGAGACCCAGAATAGCCAAGGTAATCCTTAGCAAGAAGAGTGAAGGAGGAGGCATCATAATACCGGACCTTAAATTATACTACAGAGTAATAGTAACAAAAACAGCATGGTATTGGCATCAAAATAGACATGTAGACCAATGGTGCATAATATAAGACACAGAGATAAACCCACATAAATATGGTAAGGTGCAAAAATATACATTGGAGAAAAGATAGCCTATTCATTCAATGTTACTAGGAAAATGGAAATCCATATATAGCAAATTGAAATTAAACCCCTATCTCTCACCCTCCACAAAAATCAACTCAAAGTAGATCAAAGACTTAGGCACTAGCACAGAAACCCTGCACTTAATAGAAGAAAAAGTAGGACCAAATCTCCACCATGTTGTCTTAGGAAATGACTTTCTTAACCAGACTTTTAAAGTGCAAGAAGTAAAATTGAGATCAATAAATGGGATGTAATTAAACTAAAACTCTTCTTCTCAGCAAAGGAAACACTCAATAACATGAGGAGACAGATTATAGAATTGGAGAAAATCTTTACCACACACACCTCAGATAGAGCATTAATCTGCAGGATAAAAAATAAAGAACTCAAAAAACTTACACCAAAAACAAATAACTCAATCAATAAGTGAGCTAAGGAACTGAGCAGATACTTCACAAAAGAACAAATACAAATGAACAACAAACATACAAAAAATGTTTATCATGTTTAGTGATTAGAGAAATGCAAACCAAGGTTACTCTAAGATTTCATTTCACTCCAGTCAAAATGGCAATTATCAAGAATACAAGCAACAACAAGTGTTGGTGAGAATGTGAAGAAAAAAGGTACACTCACTCATTGCTGGTGGGACTGCAAATTGATGCAACCACTATGAAAAACAGTATAGAGATCCCTCAGAAAACTTGGAAT